AAAAATGTGGGTTTTGATATGGACTAGGTACCATCTAAAACAAGCAGGGAAAACAATGCATTTTCCTCTCAACATTTAACATTCCAGTTTCCGCAGATCAAAGCTATCAAACTTACTACTTCCAAGCTGTACTTTCCACCTAAATCACATTTTAACTAGGGAGCAAGACAACAAACACCCCATTTATTGCTCTTCCAGCCCACGAAAGCCCATGCTACCAGAGTTCACAAGCAGTCTCCAATGACTCAGATTGTCATGAACTATCAGGCATCCGCAGTATAAGGCGAGCTGAAATCCTTCCCATGTCCATAAACAGCACTTCATGCTTCTGAGAGGAGTATTTCCAACTGTATGAAATGTAAGATATGGTCCTGCCGTGAGGTTACCATCTAAGGCAGCATCAGACGCAACAGTTCCTTATAATGTCTAAGTCCAAGGTTAACACTTCATTGACTATTCAAACTGCATTTCATTATCTGTTCACAGCCTAAATGTTAATACCACGCTTCATCACGAAACAAGCAGGTAGGCTACTTTGTCAACTTTTCCTTAAAAAAAGCCTACAGTAAGGGCTGCACTGACTACTGATGTCAAGCCTGGAAGAACAGGTTTTAAACACTTCAGCCCAGTTTCTCAACCACAAGCCATTAGAAATTTGCTTTTTTTGGCTACTTTTCAGAAGGTCCACATCTGAAAGTACTATCAATAAACACTGGCCACTCAGGTTTTCAGATCCGTGTTTTCAGGTTCCTGAACAACAACACTGCAATGCTGCCTGAGGTACTACAGGGAGCAGGAAGACAGTGTTCTTACCTAAATGACTGAAGATAACAATTCCCTTGAGCACCTAGTGCATATCACACTAGAGCTGGCTTCTGTTTCAACAAAATACTGAAAGCAGATCCAGAAAATAATTTTTAGTAACAAAAAACAAAGCAAAGCTCTACTTTACATGGTAGAAGGTGTGCAAAATGTATTAGGTACACACTCAAATGGACAGGTTAGGAAAAACACAAATCAGGGTGCACACACTAAAAAATTCCAATGGCATACAGCATAAACAGCTTTTTTAACCGAATAGCACAAATCTGTAATCTAAACCAAAGATATTAAACCAGGAAAGCTTAAAACATCCCCTCTCCTCATTCTTTATTCTACCTGCTGTTGTCCAACATCGGCTGATATTACTAGCACCCTCCCACCACAGGCTGAACGCACACCAGTACAGATGAATACTGTGTTGGGCTGTGAGATAAACCTGAAATCAAGAAAGGGGGCATGGATCTTGCCAAAACCACTCCCTATGTGCAGTCTGAACACAGTCACAGCTGTAAAGTCTAAGAGAACTACGCTTACAAGCATCGTGGGATTCAGAGCAAGTTCTGCTTTAGGAATGGGTAAGTTCATGACTTTTAAATCAGGGGAGAGAAACCAACCAAAACACCTCTGTACATGGTAGCAGTTAACAGAAGGTGTATTTAACCCTGTGATCTGATGAATGACCACCAAGCTAAGGCACTCAGCTAACACAAAGATTTTTGTTTTTAAAACACAACTAGCGCTGCAGCTAAGCAGCTGAAAATATTGCAAAATGCAAACGCTAGAAGGATGTTCAACTTTCAAACTCTCAGGGGTAACACCACCACCACAGAAACACCCTGACAGAAAGCCACACACATTGCATTCTTCCGTACTTGAATTTATCAGTTTTGTTCAGTACATGTAATTTAATCAATAACTGACCCTTAGAAGCAAGGCTCCCCAAACCGAATTCTAGTACCCATGCCACTGATGAAGCAAAACCAGCGTCACCGTAACTACACTTCATTGCTTCCAGTATCCATCCTCCTCCCCTCCCATCAGTACCCACCTACACAAGCCAAACTATACCATACAGCAAAATAATAGAAATTCTATAGATTCCAGGCTAATTTAAACTATTTAAATGGGCACTACAGCAAATGTGGGGTTTTGGCAATTATGAGAAGTACAAGAAAAAAGGATGTCAAGTAAGCCCCTTGCACAGGTTTGTTGACCTGAAGGTACCTGAACACTTGCCCTCGGCAGGGAACAAAGACTAAAGAGAGGTACCCAGGATTTTCTGCACCATGTCCCAGCTTAACAGGGCAAAGTGGAAATACTGATCAACTTCTAAAAAAACACTTCTGTAGAAAAGTAAGACTTGACCTCCCAGTAAAGAGTGATTTCAGAAACTGAAATACGGAATTATGAAATGCCACTTGTTCTTTCAAGTCTCATATAGATTGCTTGCCTAGAAAAAACATGGTTTGGTGGGCTTTTCTTCCATGTTTCAACTTCATCTTCAGTAACTCTATTAGACAATAACTTATACTTTGAATTGATTGTACTTTAACTACTACTAAAGTACAATTTAATTGTACCTTATATCACACTGTCACATCATAAAATCTCACCTTTCATTCATTAAAAACTCATTTTTTCTTTATGTCTTATTTCCAAAGCATTCAGAAGCCTGTGACATACTAGCTTTTCATGGAAGTTCATAGTATTTCTCTCTTCACTCACCCCTTAAGAGTATGTCTAGAAAGCAACCAAATTCCTCAGAATGATTTTCCACATTTGTAATCTGATCATCTAACAGAATGTCATTTTAAGTATGTATATGAGTGAAGTTGATCTTTAATCCAATTTCTTTAAGCTTCCTAAAAAAACCACTTTCATAACAAACAGGCAGAAATGAACAGAATTTGCAATTTGTGAACGACAATTTACTAACCACCAATTGAACGTTTCCAATAAACATACAGCAATAAAGAAAATGAAGCAATCTAAGTACAACCTTAATATTTGTATATATCCTACCGATGACATGAGTGGTCTGAATAGTGGGCAACAGTAATAAAGGCTTCTACTCTAAATGAACAAGGCACCCTGGTTTGCCCATTTGCTTTAGCTACCTTACTCAGGAGAACACCAAAAAAAAAAAATCCAGTGTTATTATCGATATTTTTTCCCTGTTAATAAAAAATTCACAGAAAAAAGCTTTGTTAAGCCTTCCCATTTTATCTCAAGTACATGCACATCCCCACACTATCGTCAGCATTAAAAGCACCAATGTAATTTAAGATGTTCTAAGAAAATTAACCCTCCACTGCAGAAATGCAAATGAAGCCAATTCTGCCACCTAATGTCTATAAGTATACACTGCTTTTGATTTCCATTATGTTTACTGACCTCCAAACAATCTGACAGTTTCTCAGCTGACACAAACCTTATCTAGCACAAGTGCTTTATAAAAGGAAAAATGCCTTAATGTCTAAAAGCAAAGTCAATATTTCTATACCAAGTAGAGCTAGATGAAATTTTCAAAAAGGCTACAAAAGAAAAATTTAATCTTTCTATTCTCATGTTTAATTCTCATTCTCTTTTCTTTTTATACATTCCGAGGAGCTAAATGTTTTATTAACAACACCGCTAACTTAACGAAGAAAGCTGTCATATCAGTTTATGAATTCTTGGTATGTGCAGTTAGGCGTAAGTATTTTAACCTCCATGTACTTGATTTGAAATACTCAAATTTTAGACACTTACCACCTACTAGAAAGTTTTAAGAACAGAAAGCAACTGTTAGTTTGTTTACCACAATCTGCCTGTCCTTTTTCTTCCCTTCTGCCTTTACTACTGTTTTCAGTGTTTTTCCTCTACACTTATTTGCAGAAGTCACAACAAAAACAAAAACAAGATCCATATGGAATATCAGATCAAACAGTTAATATAAGAAACTTGGACTGTCAATCAAAGTCAAGCTCACAGCAAAGCAACAGAGCATACTACTGCTAGAACAAAACTGGAACAAACTCCACCCTTCCAATTCACACGGGCATTCTACCACTAAGGTAGCCCTTCTTTACCAATTCCTTCATCTAAGATACAGATGTGATTCATTATTCATTGAGGCAGGAAACCAGGAAAAAGTAATACTACTTTTCATACCTCAACAGGCTACATAAGTTTTTTCACACAGAAACAGTGTGTTTTGTCGTAAGTTTTACTAGACCACAGCACCAATCCTGTACACAGATCGTGACTCCCAACACACACATTCTCACTCCTGACACTGGTTAATACAAGCATAGTAACACCTTAATAACATGAACACAGTGCTTATAGTATGATGCCTTCCTCCTCATCACTGCAATTTTTAAGCATTACAGAAAAATCTGCAAATTTTCCTCTGAAGATCAGAGAAAGAGGCTGCACTGCTCTTGGTAATGTACATAACTTACTTTGAAAAGATGATCATGAGCTTCTTCCTATTTTTTCTAGGTTCCGAATCTTCCTCAAACTCTTCCATCTCTTTTCCTAGGAAAACTTCTTGATGAAATTCTTTGTTAAGATGTCCATCCATCTCCATTTTTACCCCGTTCAAGTGATCTGGGGGCAAGATCTCATTCTCATCTTTACTGTCGGCTGGCTTTTCTTTGAGGGCTGAATTATTTGCAGGCCTTGCATAAACATCCATTAGAAGAAATACAAACAGAAGGGACAGATACAGAGATCCCAAACTGCAGAGAAAGGCCTGCCTCGACATCATTTTTTTCCTTTTTATTCAAAGTATTGGCTGATTAAATCACTGTGAACGGATTAAATGATCTAGAAACAAAATGGAAAAAACACAAAATTAAACTCTAGAACATTGTGTCATTAATAAAACGTCTCCTAAAATTCAGAAGAACCTACAGAGACACACAAAAGTATTTGCTGTGAAATAACAAAAAAGCCTGTTAAATACATGACAACAAATATATGTGTGCGTTTTCAGCCTGTGCATTTGCAACCTCTGTCAGAGGACTTCAGAAGATAACATCCTTTAAATGGCCTAGTTCTGCTCTGAAAACTGTCTTTGGGTGTTACAGCACCAGCTGACCCGACAGCTGAACCCCAGCATTTGCTGAGAACCCGATGCAGCGCACGAAGGGGTCACTGTCCCCGTCTGCAGCCCAAGCTGAGCTGCGGCCATGCCCCAGCGCAGGCACCGCACAAGCCGCAGAAGCAGCCACGACAGCGCAACGGGTTCCCAGAGCTCTCCACAG